ATATTAAATCTTAAGGTTCATAGCAGCAATTCTTTCATGTTCATTGTTGTTTTCTAACATTCACATGTTGAAAGGAATGTTACCTCTCATTGAAAAATGTACTTTTTTTTTCATCTGAAAGATAATATCCTTATTTTCCTACTTTGAGAGCCTGCATTCCCCACCCTCCCCTCCCCTACACACACATACATGCAGCCCAACAGTTGCAGCAATGGCTGCTAAAAATGATCAAATACATTTTGACCCGTATTGAACTGGACAGCTTTTGTTTTGATATATTTATGCAACAAATTAATGTAAATAGTTTTCCTAAAGTTTAAGCATATTTAGATTCCTGGGATAAGCATTATTGACCCAAGTTGTACTGTTTGTTAACATACTGGTCAAGACAGCCTTAAAAACAAACAAATGAAAAAAACAGACTCATAGATTCAGAGAACAGATTGGTAGTTGTCAGAGGTGGTGAGGAATGGCTAAAGGTGATAAAAAGATAAAAACTTCCAGTTATAAAATAAATAAGTCCTGAGAATGTAATGTACAGCATATGACTATATTTAATAATAAGGCAATGCATGTTTGAAAGTTGCTAAAAGAGTAGATCTTAAAAGTTCTCATCACAAGAAAAAAAAATTTCCAACTACTTGTTGTGATGAACAGATGGATAGGATGGACCTGAACAGTGGATTATGGTGATCATTTCCAAACATATACAAATGTAGAATCATGTTGTACGCCTGAAAATACTATAATGTCATATGTCAAGTAGATCTTACTTTTAAAAAAATGTGATGCAAATGTCCCAAGCAATGGACTCTAGTGAATGCTGTGCCGCATTGCCCGGATCCCCCTTCTGGATTAAGGGCTTATTCTTCCAGGTGCACGGGGTGTAGCCATCTGACAGCTCTCAGCCCTCAGCCCTCTTTGAGAATTGCCTTCATCTAAAGGAGTTGTCTCGCCCAGTGTCACACAACTTAGAGCTCATTGTGGAAGCGTAACAGACCACTATCATCTGCATTCACCACAGTTTTTGCACTGAGGGACTGGTTCTACTTCCAATCCTTGGTTTATGGACCCGTGTATTCTCTAAATTGGAGATATAGCACATTATGATTATCATTGATTTAGAGCGTATGCTGCATCCTATGAATTATGTAGTCATCCCTTGTTGTGATTTCAAATGCCTACATGAAATATGATCATTCCATTTAAAATTAAATATATTCCCGTATCTTCTATTAAAAAAAATTAACTCTCATGCTTGAAACTCCCTTCAGGCTATTTTACACCTGTTCTCCCCTACTCTGGCAGACTTTATATATAACTTATATTTTTCACCCATGTTGCCTCAATACTTACTCTTCAACCCATTCTACATGGATTATTTCTGCCCCTGCCCCTCTATTTAGATGTAATAAATGGAGCCCTCCCTAATATCAGCAAAAACTTCCATGTCACCAGCAAACGTCAAGGGATTATTTCAGTCCTCATTTGGGTAATCCTTTCAACAAAACTAAAAGTACTCATCAGTATGTTTTTCTTCAGAAAGATCTCTTTGCTTCTATGACATTGCGGACACCAAATGACCCATAAAATCTCCCAAGATACTTCAAGACAAGAGTATCGCAGAAAGTTGATTCTTGGGCTTGGATCCTGTAGAAATTAAACTTTCCTTAAGGGACACCTTGTAACTTTTAACATAAGTCAAAGAAAGAACAGTTTCTCCTTTAAGGAAATAAATTCATTTCCCCCCTTAGCTGCTTGCACAGACACAACATTGCCTGGAAATTTTCCATTCTCTTATGTTTGTACCCTCAGGGATCTGAATTGTTTGGAGAGAAGAAAGTCAATAGAACAATGTATTTAATGAGAAGCTCTGAGTATTCAACCCTTGAGACTCTGGAAACATTAAACACATTTCTGTGGCCCCTTACCTATAATTCTCAGATTCTAGCCAAATGCAACCCCATTGGGCTTCCCAGGGACAGACCTCAGAGAACAGAAAGCTTCAGTGATAACCATCAGAGAAGGTCAGTGTGTCCAGTGAGGGCTGGTGGAGTTGGAAGGGAAAGAGGAGAGAAAGTGGGTACAGGCCTTTACCGCTAGAGTAATGAGACAGGGACAGTCCCACATTTATTTAGTTTACAATGATGAAGTATCTGTACTTTGAAGGTGCTTTGGTTTCCACTGAACTCAGTCTTTTCCAGCTCTTGTTCTGTTTCCCTCTCTCTTTTTGGACTCTAGAGCCTTTCTGCAATGAGAGATATTTTCTGGAGAGTCTCCAACTCTTCTCTACTCTTTCCCAGAATTGTAGGCTCCTGTTGGATTTTCTGTTTCCAATCACTAACTACTCACTGGAGATCTATTATGCATGAGGTATTGTCTATTTTATTCCTTATGTGGTTGGGTTTTTCTATTATATTCCCTATCTAGTTATCCAGCAGATTTGAATTACTGATAGCACTTAATAGTTCTGTATTGATTGTGGCTGTTGATTCACTTTAGTGTCCACAATATCATCTACAAAGAATATAGTTAGTTCTGATGTTCAGTACTCAGGCCTATTTCCTTTTCTCATCTTACCAGTCTCTTTAAATGTTCAGGAGAACATCGAGTGATTGAACTTGGATTGGAATGCCTTGGTATGTTCATGAATTTATCACAAATATTTTGGTGTTTTAATTTAGAATACCCTGTTGGCTGCAGATATAAAATAACCATTGTTTATTGGGTTTAGAAATTGTCCTTGGTTTCCCCATTTGGTGAGAGGCTCTGTCCGGGCTGCTAACCACAGTGACGACTGTTACATTTTCTTGAATGCATTTTTCATTGTGATTATGGTTATGATTGCTCCTTATTGACCTATTTTTGTGATGAAATATGTTAGCAAACATCCTAGTATTAAACTAGCTTCCGATTCCTACGTTAGGCATTACTTATTCATGATGTATTGTTCTCTTAAAATAGATATGAATCCATTTGATTTAACTTCATTACTCTATTTTGTGTCTAGATGCAGGCATATGTGATCTTGAAGATTTCTCTTTTTGTTTTAGTTGATGCTCTGGGTCTCAATCTTTATTATACATCTAACATTTTCATATGTTGAGCATCTACCTAGTATGTGCTAGGCACCTTGTAATTCCTGAAAAGACAGTGGTGAGCAGAAACAGTCACATCCTCTGACCCACAAATAAACATAAGATTAGTAATGTGAGAAGCACGTCAGTGAACAGTACAGGATGCTGGACTTGTGAGTCTCACCCACTTTGTCCCGCAAATAAACATAAGATTAGTAATGTGAGAAGCACATCAGTGAACAGTACAGGATGCTGGACTTCTGAGTCTCACCCACTCTGTCCTCCTGACCCTCACTCTCTGTTCTCCATCTCACTAGCCTCTGAAATCTCTTCCATTCCCAAGCTCACTGACCCACAGGGCAACCATGAATTCTCTTCTCTCAACCCAAAATCCCTTTCTTTCCTTATTTCCTCTGGTTTACAATTACCATCCTTCCTCACACAATTCAAATATCCATATTTCAGAGAAGACTTTTCCACTGACCTCCCCAGAATAAATTGGTCCTTAGTGATTTCTTCTCTCTTTAATTAGGATTCTCTAGGCATTAATAACGTGGACATTTATTTTATCATGGAGAATGTTATGTTATAATCAAATCTTAAATTTGCCTTTCAATTTTTAAGATGATTCAATTTATAGAAGCTTTGAATACTTTTATCAAATATATCAATCATATTTTTGCAATGAACTCCAATAGTTGTTAATACAATACATCCCCACTTCTGAGCACGTACACATGAGCACAAACACTTTGTATTTTATTCTAATGGTTTTGTAATTTTGTTCCCTCCTGTTACCTATGCAGTCCACATGCTTTTTCCCCTTCTTGAAAGGATCCACTTGGTAAGCAGTATCTGAACGAGGGGGCCATAGGGATCTTCGTTAATTAGAAGTGCTGCATGGCGGTCAAAAGAGGTAACAGAGCTGTTTTGTTTATAATGAAGATAATTCCATCTTTGATGGCTACCTTAGTTTAAGGGGAATGTTAATAATGATAGCCGTGCAAAACAGAATTATTGTGACCTTAAGTACAGAAGCTCACATTTATCAAGTGCCCACTATATGTCACAAGAATAACACTATAATAATTACATGCATCATCTAATTTATTTCACTCATCAGTCTTATATCATAGGGAATATTTACCACTCCCATTGTAGAGGTGAGGTATCTGCAGCTAAGATAGACTAAATAACCTTCTCAAGGTCACACAGATGGTATGTTGATGGATCAAAATTCTATTCTAGGAAGTCTGACTCAACATCCCATTTTCTAAATCACAGCTCTATACTGTACCTTGGGAGAGTTATATATCAAAAATAGTTGTCATAAAAGGTACAGACTAATAATGATGATAATAGCCATCATTTATTGAGATTCTACTGTGCACAAAGGCATTTCTAAACCACACAAAGAATATAATAGCAGTAACCAAATTTTTAGAAATAGAAAAATATAAGGCACATGAGAGTTAACTGTGACATCAATAGGAAGCATCAGGTCACAGAATTGAAGTTGTTTGGGTTGAAAACCCATGTCTTAATCACTATTATAGGGTTATTAGAATGAAAGAAGTATGGAGATTATCAAAGAAAACATCTTAACTGTCTTCAATTATTTTGAAAGCGTGGTATCAAAGAAGAATTTGGTTTATGTCCATAGATTCAAATAGAAGAATTAGAACCAATGAGTAGGAGATGAAAGGAGAGATATTTCTGTTAAATTAAGGAAAGTTTGAATGATCACACGTATTTGAGATGGAAATGGGTTATCATTCGACTGAACGAATCACTGTCATTGGAAAGACTCAGCAGAGTGTGAAGTTTGTCTACCTGAAGGTGGAATCAGGAGGTGTTGACTAGCTGAGGGGCCAGTTGAATGTTCATGGAACACTGCATTTGCCTCCTTCCCTGACCAGCTACATGGAGGCAGGAAACCACACAGAAGTATCAGAATTCCTTCTCCTGGGTCTCTCAGAGGATCCTGAACTGCAGCCCCTGCTCTTTGGAGTGTTCCTGTCCATGTACCTGGTCACCGTGCTTGGGAACCTGCTCATCATTCTGGCCATCAGCTCTGACTCCCACCTCCACACCCCTATGTACTTCTTCCTCTCCAACCTGTCCTTTGTAGACATCTGCTTCATTTCTACCACCACCCCAAAGATGCTAGTGAACATCCAGGAACAGAGCACAGACATCTCCTATGTAGGATGCCTCACTCAGGTGTGTTTTTTCACAATTTTTGCTGGAATGGATAATTGCCTCCTGACTGTGATGGCCTATGACCGGTTTGTGGCAATCTGCCACCCCCTGCACTACGTGGTAATCATGAACCCACGCCTTTGTGGCCTCCTGGTTCTGACATCTTGGTTCATCATTTTATCTGTCTCCTTGACTGATATTCTACTGATGATGCGGCTGACCTTCTGTTTAGGCACTGAAATTCCACATTTCTTCTGTGAACTGGTTCAGGTTCTCAAGGTGGCCTGCTCTGACACCCTCATCAATAACATTTTCTTATATGTGGCCACTGCACTGCTGTGTGTGTTTCCTCTCACCGGGATCATCTTCTCTTACTCACAGATTGTCTCCTCCATAATGAGGATGTCCTCTACAGGAGGAAAATACAAAGCATTTTCCACCTGTGGGTCTCACCTCTCTGCAGTTACCTTGTTTTATGGGACAGGCCTGGGGGTCTACTTTAGTTCTGCTGTGACCCATTCTTCCCAGAGAAGCTCGATTGCTTCAGTGATGTACACTGTGGTCACCCCCATGCTGAACCCCTTCATCTACAGCCTGAGGAACAAGGATGTGAAGGGGGCCCTGGAAAGGCTCCTCACCTGAGTAGCCTCTTGTTCATGATGGGTCTCTGGCCTCAGAACTGAGTGGATACTGTGGGCTCCAAAGGCAAATGTTGCAAATTTAAATCTCTTTTTACTTTTCCTCCCCTGAAAGACATTCTTGAATTTTTCAATTCCCAAAAAATTCACATTCGTTTTTGTGTTAATTTCTCAACAACTCCCTCAGTAATTCTTTTTTGATTTTTCTTGTCTATGTGCTGTCCATAAAGTTTCCTTTAGCCATTCCTTTGGTTTCTGACTTAAGATTCAAAGCACTTATCATTTCAATTGCTGATGTGGTTTCTCCAAAATTACACTCTAAAACGTTGGTGTTTTTCACTTTCACTTGGTTGTGTGCTTGTTTTCTCTACAAGAAATGGAATGAAAATCATACAGTCATCACAACAAAGTGCATACCACATAGGATTGTGCTTGTTTCTTTGCATTTATGATTTTATTTCATCTTGAAAACATTTCTTTGTGATATTTCTCTCATTCATTCCACTTTTCAGAAGAAACTGAGATTGAATTGTACTCTAACCTGGCTAGCTGACACTGACTTTGCTATCTTTTTTTTTTTTTTTGGTGAGGAAGATTGGCCCTGAGCTAACATTTGTTGCCAATCTTCCTCTTTTTGCTTGAAGAAGATTGTCGCTGAGCTAACATCTGTGGCAATTCTCCTATATTTTGTACGTGGGACACTGCCACAGCATGGCTTGACAAGCGGTGCATAGGTCCGCACCCAGGATCTGGACCTGCAAACCTCGGGGCTGCCAAAGTGGAGCACGTGAACTTAACCACTACACCACTGGGCTGGCCCCGCTATCCTACTTTTCATGAGAACAGTGATGTGATTTTCAACTTCAAACTAGAAATGGAGATTTGAAAGCTGGACTGTTCAAATGGTTCATAGTAATAACCCACCTAGAATAACTCTGAGACATTGCATCATTCTTTGTGATCTTTCTTTCCATTCTTTTTCCTTCATTCTTTCCTTCCTTCTTCCCATCCATCCAACCATCCATCCATCCTTCTTTTCTTTCCTTCTTTTATTTCACCTTTATTTACCATCATTGCAATTTAAAGATATACTTTCTAAGATCCTAAAACACGCATAATGAAGACAATAGAATCAGAGTTGTTTTTCACCTGATGAAATTTTAATTTTGGGGGGGTACTTTCTGGAGGTGCCATCAGAAGTGGTAGTTACACATGTGTAGAATGTGTTTAGAACTTAGCTGAATTTTCGAGAAGAATGTTGATAGAATTAATTCTGCAGTGAAGGACGGAGTAGTAGGTGCTGTTCATCATTCCTCCCACATTTCCTGGGATCATCTCACCATCTCCATTCCATGACGGCCAATGGCCAGCACCAGCTGGAACCTATGTTAATCAATACATGGTAGCAGAAGTGACAGGGAATTATGCACCATTGGAGACAGCCCTTAAGAGAGAGGTTTGGGGTATGCCATGTATTTTATCCTTTAACTAGGATAATTCTGAGGTTTGGATTTTGTACCATTTTCCAGAATTTCCCCACAGAATGAAAATTCTGCTCAATAACAGTCATAGCTGACTTAATGCAAGCTATTTATTTGATGTATTTTCTTCCCTTTGTCCACTTCTCCTCTCTCCCATCCAGGTTCCTTGCTCCTTCCAATAAAATGCACATGAATCCTTGTATCAGCGTCTGCTTCTGTGGGAACCTAAACTAACACAGGTAACAAAGACTGTAATGTATCAAGACAATATCATGAAAAGATTTAGAGACTTTCAGAGAAAAAAAATAAACTAAATATTGGAGACATAGTAAGGACTGCAAAATTACTCAAAAATCCTAATTTCTTAGAGACAAAAGACATGTTTGATGTGGCTTCAATTCACTTTGATTCCATTAAGTTTAATCCAATGTACATTTATTGTCTACTGTGCACAAACTGAGGAGGAAACCAGAGAGATAAAATGATTTCAATACAGAGTGGTGAGCATAATAATATTGGTGTGTAGTAGGTCCTGTGAAAAATAAAGGTAAAATATTTCACTTCACCTTGAATAATTCAAGAAAAAATTCTTTAGACATTTATTTTTAACATTTTTTTAAAATAGACAAACACTTTTATTTTGTATTCCACATGAAAGCGAAGAGTCCGGGGGCAAATGGCAAGTACTCATTTTTTCTTCAGCTCTGGATCCACATCTACAGTCTATTCTTTTTTTTTTTTTTTTGTGAGGAAGACCAGCCCTGAGCTAACATTTATTGCCAATCCTCCTCCCTTTTTCCCCCAAAGCCCCAGCAGATAGTTGTATGTCATAGTTGCACATCCCTCTACTTGCTGTATGTGGGACGCCACCTCAACATGGCCTGACAAGCAGTGCGTCAGTGCACGTCCGGGATTCGAACCCGGGCCGCCAGTGGCAGAGTGCACGCACTCAATGACTAAGCCACAGGGCCAGCCCTCTATAGTCTATTTTAAGGCTATCCTTACAGTGGTACAAGGGGAAGGATGAGAGGAGGGGAGAGAATCCTTCCAAAGTAGGAAAAGCTGTAGATTCTCAAAAGATTTAGAGATCTACCAATATAACTCTTCCTTTAAAAAACCCGATTCCCGGAGAAGGATATCCAAATGAAGTTACCCTACTTTAATGAGAACTTACAGCCCTGAATTGCTGCTCTCCATTTTGACCCTCAAAAGTGGAGTCAATTACACAATTACACTGCTTCTCAAATTTAATTTGAATACAGATCACCTAGGGATCTTGTTAAACTATAGATTCTACTTCAGTAGGTCTGGCATGAGGCTCCTAGGTGAAGCTAATCCTGCTGGTCCTGTTGATCCAGGGACCATACTTTGAAGAGCAAGAAACTAGAAGGAGATTGACTATCCTTCAACACTCATTTTCAAACTCTGGTGTTCATCAGAATCTCCTATGGGGTCTTGTTAAATTCAACTACTTGCAATTCTGCGGTGAGCTGAGCATCTACAATAAATATCCACAAGAGATTCTGATATACACCAAAGATTAAAAGCAGCAGACCTAACATACAAAGGCGGGGAGAAGGGGGAAAGAGTACCATTTACAGCACAGACACCGTAAATTTGTTTATATTTATGACATTTTTCACCATGTGGCAGCAAAGCATCTTGAGGAAGGGGTGCCTTTTTCTTACAAGCATGGAGACATTTTATAGGATAGGCACTGTGATGCCACTCCAGTAGTTACCTGCTACAGACAAGCTACCCTGTCCATGGGCTGTGAACTCCAAAGAGGAAAGGAGAATGAAGATAATAATCACAGCCATGGCTACCTGTCAGCTCATGAGGAAGTAAACACAGCTGGCACAGTGTCTTCCTTCTCTGTCTCCAACTCAATGGGGCACCAAAAGTCCATTCCTCATCACTATTGGCTTATCACTGAGCTAAAGAAATCTAAGTAGTGAATTATCAACTGTCCTGGGGTAAGAAGTACAAAAGGTTGTTATCCTCAACAGTTTTTCCCTGAACCTGGAACCAGCTTCCTAGTTTGCTGGAAGTCTTCTTTGTTGCCCTAAATTTAACCCAATCCCTACCTTTTCCCCCAAACAGCCAGATGCATATTTTCTTTTAGCCGTTTGATAATTAGACTTTAGGGATGTTACCCAAGAATACAGTCTCATGCTTCATTTCTCTCTCTAGTGCTGAAGTCACCAAAGTATAGCAGGAATTCATGCACTATTATTCCTAGCTGGAAAATAAAATTCTGAAGACTTGATTACATGCTGTTCACCCTTGACCAAAAGATAAAATGGTATCAGCCACCTGAGGCACAGCAATATAAAGCTACATAGTGTTTAATACACATAGAATTATTTCAAAAGCAAAGTTTACGACTAAATTGAACACCTGTTTTTACAAGTCAGACACTAAAGGATCAATATAAAACTGGCTGCAAACACATATCAAAGATGCTATCACTTATTTAAAAACAAATTAAAACGATCTCTGGCTCATTCTTTCTCAGAGTGTAATCTCGTTACTCTGAAATTTCTGGGCAGTTTTCAAAGAGTAAGCCTATGAAGGGGAGAAAAATATTCTTTACAAATCTTTTGTGGCTGTAAGAAAACAGCTACTTCCACCAAATCAAAGAGAGCTACATTTATTTCAAACCACAGGATTGGAGCTAAACTGTGGTCTGTCAACCAGAGGATACCAACTTTTTTAGTAGATGACATTTTTTTTGAAAGAGACAAGAAAACTAGGAGGAGTCTGGGTCTCTAGGTATAGACCATGAGACTTGTGGGATAGGAAAAAATCTTCAATAGGCCAGACCATGGCCATACCATATACAACGACCAGAGATGCCCAAAAGACACCCTCACCGCCAAAAATAGTTTCAGCCTTCAGGTGTGTACTGCTTGCTATGCTCCAGTTGCTGTGCTAAAAACTTGGGTGAGAGGACTATTAGAAGGCGAGAGAAGAAGAGCAAACACTTTTATACTCCTTTCCACGGTGGGAATAACCCTCCTGGCCTACACTGGGCAGTTTAAACCCGGTTCTGGGTTACATCAATAGCTCCTTCAGCCCAGGTCTCTAATCTCCCCCAAGACAGATTTCAATTCTAGGAGAGGAGGTGAGGAGGGGGGCCAGAAATTCTGGACACCCTTCGAATCTTCAGTGTGTACAAATCCCTTCCACAGGAACAGACGGAGCTAAGGTTCTCGTGCCTGAGACAGAGCAATGTGTAAGTTTTCCCCTCCTACTCGGGAACCCGGGGCGCGGAAGAACCACGGAAGCGATGCCAGCCGTTAGCCGGCTCAGCACTGCCGGGAGCTGGAACCGCCGGCCCTGCCCACCCGCAGTGTGGCGTGGCCGCCACAGCCCGCTGCCCTCGCCGCCCTCCAGGGCCCCTGGACCCCGCCGAGCGCGGGAAGCGAGGGAATCCAGGCGCTCAGATGGGCTGTGCCTGCGGCTGCTGCCCCACTAGGAAAGGGCGGCGAGGTCTCCACGCTCAGGGCACCCCCACCTC